TGAAGGATTGACCTGGATAGCTCTACAGTACTCTTACTTTCCAGCTGTACAACTGTCTGTGACTTTTCTCCTGTTCTTCAGCTCAGTCCCCAGTACCATCACAGGATGATTGTATGAGTCAGAAGCTGGCCATGTGTCCAGTACAGTAACCGCAGTGATACTGTCAGTTATGTGGTACATTAGACTTTAGTTCGTGTCTTGAGTGCTGCTCAGCATCCACAGTAAAAGGGTAATGAATAACCTCCATGCTGTTTCTTCTGCTGGGAGTGGTAGTAGCCATGATCTCCTGCCAGGACCGACTCCGCACTTGGACTTTATGATGTGGTTAAAAAAAAAAAAGTGAACTGCTTCTGGGAGAGTCACTACTGATATCAGTTCCATCAAATCACTTATTTAGGCATAGCTCCTCTCAGCGTTGAAGGTGGGTCTGAAGCTGGCAGTGTCTAGGACTGCTTGTGCTGGATAAGTGATGACACAGCCTAGGTAAAATATGCCAGTGGCTTTTCCTGCCTTTCTCTGACATAGTTAGCTAGTACAGCATGGAGTAGCTTCAGCATAAAAACAAACGCGACATCATAATATGAGCAAACGAGAGCCTGGTGACTAAGACACTGGCTGAGAATATTGTCTTCAAGTATTTGCTGGAGGCCATGCTGAAATTCAAGCCCTTATCTCCCAAAGCTCAATAAAGCGTGTCTGCGATCAGTCTGCTCGCTCACCCTTCAGCACATTACAGCGTCTGTGTTTATTACTCTCCCCCTGGAGTGCTTCTCCATTACGGTTTATAGTGCCAGACAGAGAGACTCGGACTGACTGACTCCGTAACACAACAGTCCCACCACTTAGTGTTGCTCCAGCTTGCAGTGAAACTCTGTGGTTCAGGATGACCATATGAAATATGCGGGACAGTAAATGACTCCAGCAAAAATATCAAGAAAACCTCATTGCACCAAGAAAAGGTGGTGTTAGATCTCCTCTGCCAAAAGGGGGAGACAAAGGTAGAAATAAACCTCACTCCTGCATGCTCCTCAAATCAAGGGAATGGCATTAGCCACTTAGTCACAAAGGTTACATAGTCAGTCCCTTCCTCAGCCTCCCGGTGAAGTTAGTACAAAAGGAAGAGCCTCAGTGGTACTCCTGGAAGGACATGTTCAACTATAAACCCCCCCAACTTTTCTCCTCTATTATCTGCATCGTTTTCATTGAGTATTTCTATCATGTGCTCTTGGCATTTTGAATATAAATTCAGGAAGGGCAGGAATGGACATTCATAGTCTCTTGCTCTCAAAAGAAAAGTTTAACATTCACGTATTGCTAGGAGCTGGCTGGCAAAGGTTAGTCTTGGTGGACTGATGCAGGGGACATCCTGGCACAGTATGAGCTGCAGCCATTTAAATATCTAGCCTGAATCCTCCAACATTGCAAAAAATGCAGTACATTTTTGCTGTACATTTTTGGATATGAATTATTCAAGGATACAAAAGTAATTGGAATGACTGAGGAGAAAACATCTCAGCAAGCAATGCTCTTAATCAGACAACACATTCTGAAAATGCGACTCATTATCACAGGCAAATCTAGTTTATGTCATGCTACGGATGACTTGATCGCCTGTAATCTGGGCTAAAAAAAATAAATAAGATTGTTTAAATGCAGCTTCAGGGAGTGCTACATATTTTATCTCGGTTTCATCTGGTTTCCCATAATATCAAAGCTGTGTTTAGTGGATAGAGATTTACGACCAGAAAATGATATGTATAGCTGAAGAATGTGAAGGGATGATCTGCCTTGTAGAATTAGTTATCATTGCTGGGGAAGTAGAGCTGGTTTACAGCTTGCATTTTCCCTCTCCATCTGGGATTGATTTGTGTCTTTGTGTTGTATATAGGAAATGTTCTCTGCAATTCTCTGAACATAAAGACTGTGTTTCAGGCACTGCGGTGTAAGAGATTTTGAAAACCTTGACTCACGCATAGACAATTGTTAGCATGTACATTTTTACAAGTATGTTTTCTTTATCTTGTATTTTAAAATATATATACATATTTATACATAAATTGGCTCTGCTGCTGCCAACATTGGGACAGTTGTGAACATATTTTCCTTGCTGTTAGCCAAGGCAATGTACGCACTATATTATTTTGTTTTATTTTTGTGTTTTAATAGAAATTACTTTGCTGAGAGCAGGAGTTATTCCAATGAGTGTCTAGTGACTAGGAGACAGACACAAGGCTATGAAGGCATTTTTGTTTCCAGCTCTCTGTGATTGATAGCTAGGATATCAAATGGATGGTGGTTTTGGAAGAAAGATCAAGGCAACTGATGGCATCAGGCATTTGCAAGAGCGTTTTTCATATAGCTGGCTGGCAGCTGGTCTTTCAGGGTTTTGAATGGTCTTGCCAGTTGCTATCTGAGCTACATGTAACAGAAAATTATTTTTTGATGTGCTGCTGTCATTTGCCTTAGATAGGTCAATGTTTTGGCTTATGTTTTAATTTCAAAAGTGTCAACTTTATTTAGGATGGGGCTCTAGAGTCAGACTAAAGGCTGAGTAATGTCACTTTTGTTGACAATTTTTAATGTTGAAATTGTCTTTGGTTACTTTTATCATTCTTAAAGACAGAGCTGAGAGTCGGCAATTAGATGCATATCTTAAAATATCTTTTACATGTCACTCACTCTAAAAGCCAAAAGTAAACCAGACACTAGATATGGTATGTGAGAGCATTCATTAGCACCATTCAGGATCAGGGAACTCTTTTTTTAAAAGCTATTTGAGGAACCAAAAGAAAACTGCAAGTAGGCTTCTTGCTGACAAGTTGCAGGTGTATACCACATGCCCATATTGGAAAAAAGATGCGGTTATGAAGGTCTTGATGACAGACAAGGGTCTAAAATGCCTTCATCTCCAGGTTTTAGCTAGTTCATCTGTTTTTTATTTGCATTTCCCCCAGCTAGCATTGTTAGTATTTTCCAGACTCAGTATAACCGTGCACAGGTCTATATAAAATCACTTTTCTGCATTGTAAGATCCTTAGTTTAGTAAGGTCTCATTTAAGTCAGGGAAGCCTCACTTTTAAGGTCAGTATATCATAAATTGTAAGTCAGTGTTAATGATTTCTTGCTGGAAAAATGAGGGAAAGGAGTGATGAGATTGAGGGCCGAGCACCTCAGTAACTCTTTGCTAGAATAGGTAGAACCCACTTGTGCCTTAAGAGTACCAAACAGGTGAGTGTTTGCTACTCCTGGCTAAAAGATCTGGCCGCCTTTGGTGTTCATCTTCTCGAGGATGAACTCAAGAGGAAATGTTTATTCTTAAGGGAGAAAGACTTACACATACGTCAGGTTACTCCAAACAGCTGCACTCTGGAATCATTCTTCAAAGATGCATATTCAGAGGGCAGAAGTAATAGGGCAGCAGCACTTGGGAAATATCCACCCTGCACTTTTGGTACTGTGAAGTAATTTTGACAAAGAAAACAACTAATGAAATCACATGGGAAATGGCATGGCTCCCCCTCGCACTAACGGCACTAGAGAAACTTGTTTTATTATCAGACCTCTTGTTTCTTCTGCGATTCTCAAGAGAATGGCACAAAGACAGAGAAACAAGAAGTTCTCCATCTAAAAGAACAATTTGCAGAGCAAATTCTCAACAGCCTCCAAATTTTTCTTTTCTGAGAACAATATAATCAAGACTTGATTTAAAATATTATTAGAAAAGTAGTCAGCCTGCATTGAAAATTAGTCAGTTGGGCTTTTTGTTTGTGGTGGTTAATTAATTGCAAGCGTCATTCTGAAAACAGTAAAAGCAGTACTTTGATTTATTTAAAATGCTGGAGAAAATTAGTTGAGGAAGCATAAACATAATTTCCCAGGCAGTCCCCAAAATTTAGTCTCATCTTTTTATCTAAACAAATTCCTCAAGTATAATTTTGAAGAATGAAAAAAATCTATGATTAATTTAATAGGCAGTAAAATTAGATGCAGACAGAGAGCAGACTGTGTGGGAGTCCGCAGAAAGGATCCTGGAATGTGGCAGTGTGTGTTGTTATGTCTCCTTAAAGCATCAAGTCTTTTCCTTTTGTAGGAATAAACTTTTCATTCTCTCTTTTTATGGGAGAATACATTGCTTTCACACCCTTTTTTTAAAAAAAGTCATTTTTCCTGTAAGATACTGCTGAGTTTGATGAATATAGGAGAATAGTATACACGTATCTCTGCTTGCAGGGAAATATATGTGCAAGACAGTTTGTGCTCTATAATACATGTCATGCTGCACAACCTAGGGTGGTGTTTAGCAGGTGGCAAGTCTAAGGCGTATACTAAATCCATAAGTGAAGTAATGGTTATCAAAGGAAAAAGCTGACCAGTGATGTTTGTTCACTTCCAAGGAGTCCAACTGGTGTGGGCTCATGCAATTGCAAAGGAGCTTCTACCAATGTGGTGTAGATGTTCACTGGCAGAACACTGAACTTATCCATCAGTGTGTTTGACAACTATCAAAGGAAAATGCCTCTTTGGACTTTAAATTAAAATGATACCTATTGCAGGCTGTGTTTCAGGATTTTTATGAACTGAGAGGAGTCTTATGGCTCCATTTATTTTTTCACTGGGGAGTTTTAAGCTCTTGTCTATGAATCAGAGGCCTGAACCCACAAAAATGTGAGTTCTCTTGTGTCAACATATGTTTGAGGCAAGAAAAGATGAAACCACCAGGGAGGTGGTTGTATCTCCCTGATTCTTGAAGCAGATACATCTTCAGCAGCAGCATGAGCTTATATGGATGCAGTGAAGCATCTCTACCTGCATCTTCTGGCCCCAGTGAATGGTACCTCAACTTTTAGTTTCTTGGTTTGTTTGGGGGTTTTGTTGGTGGTGTTTTGTTGTTGGTTTTGGGGTTTTTTTTGTTGTTTGGGTTTTGTTTTTATTTTTATCGGGCTGCATACACACCTTGTACAAAGGAGTGCTTCACTGTAATCCTTTCTTTTACCCATCAGGCCTACCCTTGCACCAATGATAAGGAGTGCGAAGTTGGGCGATACTGTCATAGTCCTCATCAAGCAGCGTCTGCGTGCATGATGTGTCGGAGGAAGAAGAAGCGTTGCCACAGAGACGGCATGTGCTGCCCTGGGAACCGCTGCAACAATGGTACGTCAGTCATTTCTTGGTTTTCATACATAAAATCAGCATTTTGATAGCATCTGTTTCTCTGCATCTTCCCTGCAACAGTGACTGTGCTTCTTTTTCTAAACCAAGAAAACTTCATTTTCTACTTCATTCTGCTCCACTTCTTTTTCTTTAATAGTATTCCTATGTTTAAGGTTTGTGTACTACCAGACTTTTTCCCGTTTTGGGGTGGGGAAACCCAAAAATGCTGCTGCTGCTGACTGGAATCACAGCACTACATTCAGTGTGGTTTGATTCACTGGAAGACTGCACAGAACCTGTATTTTTAAGGAAGCAAAAGACTTAATGAATCCTTGATCTTCTCTCCCTTGGGAGCATTATAACCGTAGTGTTTGCGTTCCCATACTCTCCTCTGGGGAGAGAGATGTCTATGAGGCAGTCTCCAGGTGCTCAGACCATAAAGCCAGAGTGACGGCGAGACTGTCTGACAGTAAGTGAAGCAGAACTGCGGTAAAGTTAGGTGCCGGGGATCAGGTGTCATTAGAGCTGAGCATCACTGAGGCCAAGCCCCAGCACTTTTATGGTCATGGTCCTGATCCTGGTGTGTATATGTCTCTTGGCTGCTTTTCCTCTTGTTCAAATCTTTGACTGTCTTTTCGTCACAGGCATTTGCATACCAGTAACTGAAAGCATCCTTACACCTCACATCCCTGCTCTAGAAGGGCCCCGCAACAAAAAGAACAGTCATTATACTAGCAAGGATTTGGGATGGCAAAACCTAGGGAGGCAACGCTCCAAGCTGTCGCACATAAAAGGTAAGATTTGCACTACACTGCTTTGTTCCTTCATGTTATGAATCATGTTATTGCTGTTAAGGTACAGCAATGCAAACCAGAAATAGGCAGTAATTTCACAGGGAGTGAATGTCTATGGTGAGAATTCACAGGGTGACTCAAAAAGTGATGTAACATCAACCGACAGTTCCTGTGATTGAAATAGCATCTGCCTTCTTCTCTGTATGGACTGACAATCCGTTTTTCAGTTGTACAAGATTGCACACATCCTCCTTTTGTAACAGTCATGTAATTAAGCATTTGTAATTCTGCTTACAATCCTATAGATGAATTTCTCCTTACTAAGTCTTATGACAGGTGTCATTAATTACCCCCTTGAACCTTCCTAATTCTTATCTTCCCTTGTGTTTACATCGTTCAAATAGCCACAGATGGAAATATCATCTCTCCTTTTTCTGAGCTTCTTTTTTCAGTCTGTACTGAATCTGTACTTCCATGTTTTCCCATGAGGTAAAATAGTTTGGTTGCTCTTTTTAGGACACGAAGGAGATCCCTGCCTGCGGTCATCGGACTGTATTGAGGGACACTGCTGTGCTCGCCATTTCTGGACCAAAATTTGCAAGCCTGTGTTGCGTCAGGGGGAGGTGTGCACCAAACAGCGCAAGAAAGGGTCCCATGGACTGGAGATTTTCCAACGATGTGACTGTGCCAAGGGCCTGTCTTGCAAAGTATGGAAAGATGCGACCTCCTCTTCTAAATCAAGACTTCACGTATGCCAGAAAATCTGAATGAGGATTGGGAAGATTAGTATTAAGTGACTGTGGCTTTATGTATTTAATGCATTACAGCATGGTGGGAAATGAGGACTGCAAATGAAAGCGGAATGGCTAAAGTAACAGTTAGGGTAGGTGTAGAAGTCACACCAAATGCATTTCTTTTTGAGCTGGTGGTAAACACAAGTGCAGCTGGAGTTCTACTGTGTGGCTCTTCTGTAAATAACTTCTACAGTTTGTGGGAAATGCTAGTATGCAAATAACTACAGTGGAAATTAATGTCACTTACCTTGCTGTGTTGTCCCGTGATGTTTCAGGGGTTCAGTGTTAGGGCTACAGTGGGTTTCCAGCGTGGTAATGACTGCTAAATCAATTGTATACATTTTACTCCTATAGGAAGCAGTGCATGCCAGGAAGACTCATCTGTCACCACATTATTGGTCACATTGCAGGTGTGAGAAACGGAAATAAAGTTACTGTGAATGTCCACACGCCCTTGTCATGCAGGGCTGACACTGCAGCAAAGAAAGCACTCCTGCAGGACAAGAGTGCTACGTTTTGCAGGCCCTCATGAAAGGGGTGAAAACTTGCCATCTCACCATTTCAAGAGAGCAGCAGTTTCTCTAAGAGGAGGCATTTAAACAGGGTTTTGTTTCCGATACGTAGGTAAATTGAAATGCTTTATGTAGTTCAATGTCATAGTATGGCACTTAATCGCTTGTATTTGCCTCACTTTACTGCTAGTATACATTGGGTTGAACAGATGAAGCAAATATGTGCATGCTGAATCCAGAATTATATACAGGCAGTTGCTCATTAGTCCTAAATATACTTTTTTTTTTTTTCCTAAGCATACTTGCATTATAGACATTTCCAAAAGAAATAGCAGAGTGTTGAAATGCCTAACACGAAGAGCTAGGAAGTTGTGTCACTCTGCTGTTAAAACAGGTGATGTAGACAATTGTGGAGGCGTTTAGAGCACACTGCTACAAACTCAAATTTTTACATTTTATTCGTAGCAACAGGCTACTGATGGCACTCTGCAGAAGTATAATGGATTTGTTTCTTAGAGGCAGCAAAGAAAAAGGAGTTGGCTCTTGTGAGCAGCTCCTCTCCTGCAGAAAAGGATGTAAGAAGATGGTACGACTGCAAATGACTTATTAAACATCATGCGATGTCACAGCATACCAGCCTCCAGCACGTATTCAGCCTGAACTTAATGTCCTCTCAGTCTGGACTGTTCTGCCAGGAATCGTGGAAGTACACGGACTGTGGAAACAGCTGACAGCTCTACCTTGTTTGTGCGCTGGTTAAGGAAAGGACAGTCTCTATCCCTTGACTTGTCTCCCCTGTCTTTTCAAACTTTTTTCATTTTATTTGCAAGTACTCCTTTGTATAAACATTGGTAAAAAGACTGATGCTTCTTTAAAGAAATCTGATTCTATAATTGACCTACTGCTAAGTTGTAATTACCCATTTATAATTACCCATTTTCATGTTTTTTAATACAAGGGACTTTTCTGTTTAATCAGTTCTGAACAGCGTGGGTAGACCAGTATGTAGTTTAAGTTTGAAGACTATGTCACCCATACCTAAGACACCTTTTCCCACTGACATGTCTCTACCAGTAGCTGTTTTAAAGCTATAGCTTAGCTACACCACCTCAGACGTTCTACCTAGAACACAGACCTCAGCTACGTTGCCTTTATCTTTCATAAGAGTCTAAATAAGAAGAGTATTTCACACACCTCTCTCCCTACCGCAGTTGGTTTTTATTGACTTAGAGGGACTGCTCAGAGACGGAGTTTTCTTTTTTTTAAGTGTCTCAGAGTTTTATCTTGCAGTCCTATCATTGCAACTCTGCTTATTTCAGAGTTTTTCCAGTGTAACTGAAACAGGAATAAGGCTCAGAAATAGCATAATTTCAAGATATTAAAAATGGACAGGAACCAATTTTGCAAATTTACTACACTGACACAGCACATACTCAACAGAGGAACTCTATTGCTCTCATTGTGACTACAGATAAAAGAAAATGATACCCAGCATGAGCAGGGGGGTTGCAGAAATGGGGTCTCAGCAATTTTGAGCTCTTCTTATCATTAGCCTACCCCCCTTTTCTTCTTGCAAAGCATAGTTATCTGGGATAATTTATTTACAGGAAATGTTTAATGAGATGTATTTTCTTATAGAGATATTTCTTACACAAAGCTTTGTAGCAGAATATATTTGCAGCCTGTTGACTTAATGTAGAAAAATGTATAATAAGATTAAATATATTAAATGTTCTTGCCCGTTCCTCCCCAAATATTTCACCCATATTTTTTTCCTTACCTGCTGCTTAAGAAGAGTAGTTCTTTCTGGAAAGACATGCAAATCTATTGAAAAAAAAAACAACCCACAAATGTTTTAGCTGTACAAGAAAAAGCATCTGATTGATTGTACTTCTGTCTCAAAGCTCTATGTAGGGCTGAGTTTTGGTAAAACACATGAAGGTCATCTTAAAATCCCCATGCATCACTTCTACAAAACTGGTTTAAGTGGCAACTATCTTTATGCTTCTCTTGGGACATTTTACACCTAAACATTCACGAATAAGTTTTGAAAATAATGTGCCTGGATGCATAATTTTCAGTCAAGCAGGTTAAATAGGAAAGATGCCCAGCCACATTCCCTGGATAGTGATACATACCAGAGACTCACAGTGGGTGAAGCTTGGTATTCAAATTACACAGCATTTTGCTGTAAGTTACAGCATACAAATGCACTCCTGCAATATCTAGAACTAGCTGTTCTGAAATGGCAGATAATAGCATTCAGCTCTAATAATATGAAAGAAGCCAAAAATATTGCTACTAAAACCAGCCAAGTTCTGATCCCAGGAACCCCCCGCAGAGCTCAATAAATATTGCAAAATAATGGCTGTGGTTATTGAGCAATGGTTTCAATATCCTTGTTACTTGTTTCTGGTAACCCTTTGCTTGAACTGATGTATATTTGGAGGATGGAATGGTCTCCAAGTCGCACTAGTGTTTGTACAAAAAGAAAAGGTTTTGCTACTGTTATTTGCAATATTTGCTAGGTAGGCCTTTGAAAATTCTAACACTTTTAACAACAATGTAATGAAGCTGTGAGCATCTTCAGAGCCCAATGACTTCAACAGAGCTTGAGATTGCCAAAGCCTTCAGAGGTTTAATCTGGGAACAAAAACAATAGGCACAGGCAGTTTGTCGCACATCGCAAATACTGAGCAACACAACTGAACTGAATAGCATGCAAACAGTTTCGCAAGACTGAAGTTTGATTGTTTAGAAGCCATTCAGTTAACATTTTGGGGAAATATACATCAGTTGTTTGAGAATAAAAGAACAGCTATATTTGGAGATGATAATTGCTCTCACTCACTGTGTCACTCATCAAGGAAATTAAGACTGACTTTGGCTCAGTAACATTACAGAAATCTGCTGTGATGAAACAAGTACTGAAGAGATTATTGCTGAACAATTCAAATACTCCTCCTATTAGCCTAGAATAGCCTCAGCAATGCAACATCTCTTTGGAAATACTTATTAACTTTCCTAAAAATAATGGATTTCTACTCTATAACAGCATATATTTGATTTACAGTATAAATGTGGGTATGTATCTTTACTGTACTATTTGCTTTGTCTTATGTTGTTGTTACCGACCTATAGTATTTATGATTTTAAACATTTTTTTAATGAAAACAATTAAAATAGATTTATGCATTTATTTGTATAACAACACTTTCAACAGCGTACATCCAGCACCTGACACCGGTCACCACAATTCACCAGAAGTCAAGCCTAAACCACGACACCTGTGTATTCTGACTTTCCTGCTCATTGTCTCAACAACAGCAAAAAAACCCCGCCCCACCAAACACGATGAACTGTCTTGGGCAGAGGCTGAGAAGAGACATTTCTAAACTGCTCCTTGTCGCCAACCCACCAGCCTCTCTGCTTTCACTTCAAAGCCCTGCAACGTCCCCGCTAGTAGGAAAGGTAAATGCTATAAAGGAAAATACTTATTTTTCATCCCTTCCACTTGCCTTTCCTTCTAGTAAAACCATTTACAAAGAGATATCCTGAAGTCAAAGCCAGCAGAAACTCATATAGCAGCTACTCTAAGCCAAGGCTTTTAGGAGTCTTGAGATCTATCGTCTAACTTTCAAGAACTTCATTGCTAAGAGATTTATGTAGACAATAAAACCACATTTACACAAAAATAAAGAAACCTAACACTTTGGATTGTCAGTCGAGTGTTCTGAAAATAACTGTCTATGGCAGGGAGAATGATGACACACGACGGACAAAACCAACAACCCCAAAGTACTCTCACTCCTAGTCCTTGACAAAGAGAATGCAATTATTTTTTTTGCACTAGACACTGTTTCAGTCCACACAAAGCCGTCACAATTTTGTTTTTAAATCACACTAATAACAAACGTGTGCTTTCTTACCTAGCTCACCAGTCTAACGTACGGCATATGGTACATCATTAGACAGGAGTGATGGAACAAGGTTAGTCTAGAGGTCTGCACTCCCTCATTTAAATCATAACGTTTCACTGAGATGAACAGAAACTTTCTGCTCAAGTGCCTTATTATCTAATACAGTTTTTAACATGCTCACTACTGCCAATGAGCGCTTACAGTTCAGCACAGAGCCTAGATCCATTCTTACCTGATGTTGACAGCCTGGACGCTGTCCTGTGCAACCTGTTGTAGGTGACCCTGCTCTGGCAGGGGGGTTGGACTAGATGATCTCCAGAGGTCCCTTCCAACCCTGACCATTCTGCGATTCTGTGATTCTGTTTTACCTTCAACTTTATATGACTGTTGTCAGGTGCTAAAATGCGGCAAAATTTCGTTAGATGCTATTGCAAAAACTTGTAACTGCTCATCCTAGGCCACCCAGTTACCAAGAATGGAGGAAGGGCAAACGTGCTCCGTGTGTGTTCCTGAGCCACGTCCCCACGGCACTGATCCAAAG